CGGGCATCACCCCAAAACAAGAAACTGGCATACCGGATCTTCTCCTTATCCGTCATAGGAAACAGTGTCGTCGTACGCTCAACGGACCTAAACCATTCTTCTGCCACTAAAGGGTCTGTTGTACCTTTAATGTCTGATGGCTGATATTGACTTGGAAGCCCATAAATCAGTTCAATCTGATTCTGTACTGTCGGGGGTACCGGCCTTTCTCTTTCTTCTCTAGTAGGTGGTATTTGAATGGGGGTTTCAATTCTTTCTTGTTCAACTCTCCCCTGTCTTTCTCCTACGACTTGCTATACAATCACCTGAATTCTAGCTTCATCAAGGGTATGGGGAGTAGGTTCTGGTGGGTTAGAAGGTTCCCCCGTACTCACTGCTTTCTTACTACTTGCTCGGGTTCTACATCTCATCTATAAAACAACCACATTTAATCAACTCATGCAACACTTTAAGTAAGGAAAGAAAATTTAACTTACAATGGTTGGCTATGTAATTTCTCTGCGGTGAGAATGGCACACTGTCAAATCCCAAAATCTTTGCTCTGATACCAAAAATGTAATGACTTCTTTCTACTAGTATACTTTAGAATATATACAATAAAACATACATACTTAGCATATGAAAAATAGTTGGGCCCAAATTTTTCTTTACTTATAAAATGTAATTCTTTACACATATGAAATTAACAAGTACAAAAACTTAGCAACGGTGGACAGTAATGCCAATGCTCTCCGCTTGTTGACGTCCTTCCAACCGCTGCTCACCTATTTCTTGCAAAAACATGGAAAAACAACGGGGTGAGCACAAAAATGCTCAGTAAGTAAATCCCTTATCTTTTCTCCTTCTTTGGTTATTTCCTTACTTAATTCTCTTCTTTTTTCTTTCGTTCCTAGTTCTTTCTCTGTTTCTAATTCTTACTGTTCTTTCTTTCTTCCTAATTCTCGCTGTTCTATCCTTCTTTCTATTCTTTCTTTCTATTCTTCCTTTTCTTTCTATTCTTTCTAACCATGGTGGACTACATGGTAATATGCATGAATGAAATGCATGTGCAATAATGCATTTTCTTTCTTCTTTCTATTTCTTTTCTTTCTATTGTTTTCCTTTCTTCTTGTTTGTCTTGCTCAAGCTTCTCTTTTCTTTCTTGTTTTTCTTTTCTTTTCTTTGCTTGTTCAAGCTTTCTCATTCTTTCTTATTCTTTCCTTTCTTATTCTTTGCCGATCAGTCTCGGTTGATGCATGGATTTGGAACCTTGGCTGTGTGAGTGAGTACAGTCCTCATCTACATGCACTCTTGTGGACCGTACACATTCTTTCTTTCTTCTTAGGCCACTCAATTAAGGTGGCATGCATGTAGGAAATTCTTCTTGGTACAACCCTCATCCACATACACTTCTCATACTCAAATATATCCAACAACAAGCATAAATAATCATCATGTCATCTCAATTTCTCAATAATCTTAACATATGCATGCTTAAAAGAAATCTCTACTCACTTGATTTCTTAAACCTTAACTGGATTTGGAGTTTGAGTGGAATTTACTTACCTTATACTTGAGTAGTCTCCACTAAAGCTCTCAACTCTTGTTGGATTCAAACCTTCTATTAACCCTAAGCATAAACTTAATAAATTCAACTTCTACACAAATAAATCATATATATAAAGCAAGAATTCTTACCCCTTGTTGCCTAGGATCAAAACCCTATTAAAATCCACTCAAAAGTCCTCAAAATCCTTGGAGAATTGAGTGAAAAATTGAGAGAAAATGGAAAAGGAAAGTGGCGGTGGAAAGGAGAGAAATAAGGGTTACAAACCCTTAATATCTTATTCTATAACCACACTTTCCCATTTTGCCCTTACTCTTTCTTAGAAATTCCATCTTTGCCCCTTAGTCAATTATCATAATGCCCTCATTTTTATTGTATTCTCTATGAAATTCTATCTCTTTTCACTCCCCACAATTTCAACTAATTTTGAGTGAAAAGACTATTTTACCCTTAATGCAAGTTTAAGGCAATTTCTTCATATTCTCTTACAATAATTCTAACAAAAATCAATTAAGGGATATAAAAACATAAATTAAATTACATACCACCGTGTGGGCGTTACATATATGTTGTCCTGTATGCCCACAATGCGTCATCAAGTCGCAAGCTCCAGTCTTTCCTATTTGGATTCACGGTTTTCTCTAAGATGGACTTGATTTTCCGATTAGAGACTTCGGCTTGTCCACTTGTTTGTGGGTAGTATGGCGTAGAGATCTTGTGGGTGACGTTATATTTCTTCAAGGTAGCCCAAAATGTACGGTTGCAAAAATGAGTGCCCCCGTCACTAATTATGGCTCTAGGTGTTCCAAACCTTGCAAAAATGTTAGATTTTACAAAATCTACAACAGCTTTAGAATCATTAGTCTGGGTGGCCTTTGCTTCTACCCATTTAGACACATAATCAATAGCAAGTTAGATATAAAAGTAACCATACGAAGACGAAAAGGGTCCCATGAAATCAATACCCCATACATAAAAAATCTCAACAAATAAAATCGGATTTTGGGGCATTTGATTTCTGGGGCCTAAATTACCTGAGCGTTGACATCAATCACATGTTTTGCAAAAATAATATGCGTCTTTAAAGAGTGTAGGCCAATAGAATCCACTCTCAAGAACCTTGAGAGCTGTCATCTTTGCTTCGAAGTGTCCTCCACATGCATAGGAATGGCAAAAAGTTGAAATTGAATTAAATTCACTTTTGGAAACGCACCTTCTTATGATTTGGTCGGGGCAATATTTCCAAAGATATGGATCATCCCACACATATTGCTTGGCGATCTTCTTCAGTTTGTCCTTGATAGCACATGACATGTTGGGTGGGGTTCTCTTGGTCACTATGTAATTTACTACATTTAAATGGCCTGCTACAACGTTCTCACTCCCTCTTTTCTCTTGGATTGTTAGGTTAAACTCTTGTAGCAACAGAATCCACCTTATAAGCCTTGGTTTAGCCTCCTTCTTTGTAAGCAAATACCTAAGAGTTGCATGGTAAGAAAAAACAGTAACTTTAGTGCCAATTAGATGGGAATGAAACTTTTCTAATGCAAAAATAACCGCCAAAAGTTCTTTCTCAGTTGTGGAGTAGTTAAGTTGAGCGTCATTCAATGTTCTTAAAGCATAATAAATGGCGGGTGGTAACTTTCCAATTCGTTGTCCTGACACGGCTCTAATGGCATGATCGCTTGCGTCGCACATCAACTCGAATGGAAGACTCCAATCGAGTGGCTGAATAATTGGGGTTGTGGTTAGGAGTTCTTTTAGTTTCTCAAACGCCTTTATACACTTTTCATCGAACTCAAACGCTGCCTCTTTTTGTAACAAACAGCATAAGGGCCTTGCGATCTTAGAGAAATCCTTGATAAATCTCCTATAAAATCTTGCATGTCCAAGAAAAGAACGTACCTCTCTCACACAAGTAGGAGGTGGTAAGGAACGTACAAGATCTATTTTAGCTTTATCAACTTCAATCCCCCTATATGAGATAATATGCCCTAAAACTATCCCTTGATTTACCATAAAATGGCATTTTCCCTAATTTAAAACGAGATTAGTTTCTATGCATCTTTTAAGAATTAATGTCAAATTACCCAAACAATTATCAAATGATTTCCCATAGACACTAAAATCATCCATAAATACCTCTATAATGTTCTCTATGTAATCAGAGAAAATACTTACCATGCACCTTTGAAAGGTGGCGGGTGCATTACAAAGTCCAAATGGCATGCGTCGATAAGCAAAAGTGCCAAAGGGACATGTAAATGTCGTCTTCTCTTGATCTTCCAGTGCAATCATAATTTGATTATAACCTGGAAATCCATCAAGAAAATAATAGTGTGAATGGCCCGCTAAACGTTCAAGCATTTGATCGATAAATGGAAGAGGAAAATGGTCTTTGCGCGTTGTGGCATTGAGCTTGCGATAGTCTATGCACACTCACCATCCCTTTTGGATTTGAGTGGGAACTAAGTCATTATCTTCATTCTTTACCACGGTTATTCCGGATTTCTTAGGAACTACTTGGACCGGACTAACCCATTTACTGTCTGAAATTAGGTAGATCACACCAACATCTAACAACTTGATTATTTCCTTCTTCACTACTTCCATCATTGGTGGATTCAACCGTTTTTGCGCTTCTCTTGTAGGCTTCGATCCTTCCTCTAATAATATGCGGTTCATGCACATGGAAGGTGTAATGCTTTCTTTCTAGCTAGTATACTCGTAAAATCAACTAAAGGCATAAGAACATAAATTAAATGACGTACCTCCATGTGGGCGTTACAGAAGGACTTATTCCTTTAATGTCAGCAATCGTCCAACCAATTGCCATTTTGTACTCTCTCAACAAACGAACAAGTTTCTCTTCTTGCACCTTTGAAAGGTTGGCCACTACAATCACGGGCAATGTGTCTCCTTCTCCTAAGTATAAATACTTGAGATGACTTAGTAAAGGCTTAAGCTCCAAGGTAGAGGCCTGCACAATGGAAGGTAAAAGTTTCTCATTAGACATAGGAAGAGAAATATAGGAGATTTCATACCTTGGATTTTTCATTGGAAGCTCATCCAACATTGCTATAGTTTTATTTAGCTCTTCTCCCAACTCTATGTCTTCATTAAAACTTTGAGGTTCCTCGGTTGACAACCCATTCCATATTGCCACTTCCAATGGATCTTTACCCTTAAGCTTAAACATTTGCTTCTTTAATTATTCAAGTATATCAATGGAAAAGCAATCATTGTCATCATTAGGATAACTCATTGCGTCAAAGATGTTAGATTGAATGACTTCCCCATCAAACTCCATTGTCAACGTCCCATTATACACATCTATTTTCGTACGGGCTATTTTCATGAATGGTCTCCCCAAAAACATTGGCGTGGTTTTCACAGTTCTTTCATCTTTCATGTCAAGCATGTAGAAATCCACTGGAAAAACAAGTTCGTTTACCTACACCAAAACATATTCCACAACTCCCTTTGGATAGGCATTAGATCGATCAGCGAGTTGAATAACTACGCCAGTCTCTTTAAGAGTACCAAGATTTAAATCAAGATAAAGTGAGTAAGGCATGGCATTAATCGAAGCACCTAAGTCTAACATTGCTTTCTCAAACCTTGTGTTGCCTATGATGCATGGTATGGTGAAACTACCCAAATCTTTGCACTTTGTTGGAAGCTTCCTTTGCAAAACCGCTGAGACATTTTCTCCCACGCTTACCACCTCATTTCCCTTAAGTTTTCTCTTGTTGATGCACAATTCTTTAAGAAATTTCTCATAACGCGGCACTTGCTTTATTGCATCCAACAAAGGAATGTTGACATGTAATTTTCTAAAAGTGTCCAAAATTTCTTGTTCATGTTCCTCCTTCTTTGATGTGGCAAACCTGCTAGGAAAAGGCAAAGGAGGTTCGTAAGTATTAATAGGAACTTTAGATTGTACCTTAGGTGGATGTTTTGCATTGGAAGAATCGGTTGGTGAATTTTCTACACTTTTGGGCTGCTTTGTTCTACCTTGAATCAACTCATCTCTAACTTCTTTCCCATCATTTGGCTTCTTGTGAGTCTTCTCAAGCTATCTACCACTTCTCAAAGTAATGGCACTGACATTCTCCCTAGGGTTAACCAAAGGTTGGGAAGGAAGCTTTCCGAACCCATGCGCCTCTAATCTTCCAAGAGTAGCGGCCAATTCACTAACTTGGCTTTCCAAATTGACATTTTTGTTTCTTGTTGGAACTTGAGATTCTCTTGCTGAAATTGAAGAGAGCTAGTTGCTAATGAGTTTACCAAGTCCTCCAAAGACTTTCCTTGAGGTTGGGAAACATTTTGGGGTCTTGCTTGGTATGGTTGTGGAGCTCGTGGGTAAGGGAAACCAGGTGGATTATTAGTGACAGTAGCTTGTTGATTTTCTCCATAGCTAAGATTAGGGTGATCCCTCCATCCTGGATTATAGGTATTGAAAAATGGATCATACCTTTGCCTTTGTTGTCCTTGGTATCCTCGCATGGCATTTACTTGTTTTGCATTTGTCTCTTGAAGGGTAGGACACATATCGGTAAGATGTCCCACATTGGAGCAAATTCCACATGTCTTCACTTGTCCAATTGCAATTTGTTGCACAAGTGCAGTCAAATTATTCAATTGTTGCTCAAGATTATTGGATATCCCCACTTCATTTACCTCCCTTGGTGGTGGATCAGATCGAGTACCAAATTGTTGAGAGTTTGCCGCCATGGTTGCAATTAAGTTCCTTGCTTCTGTATGAGTTTTATCAACTAATGCATCTATCATGCTCCTCTCTATTGGCATCAATCCCTCATAAAAATATTGGAGAAGTAATTGCTCACTTATTTGATGATGTGGATAGCTAGCACGCAATTTCTTAAACCTTTCCCAATATTCATATAAGTTTTCCCCATTATTTTGATGAATCCCACAAATTTCTTTCCTAATGAGTGTGGCTCAAGATGCTGGAAAATTCTTCTCCAAGAACAACCTCTTCATCTCATTCCAAGTAGTTATGGTCCCGGATGGTAGGTATTAAAGCCATTCCGTAGCGCTATCTGCTAAAGAAAATGGGAATGCCCTTAACTTTACTTGTTCCTCCATTGTTCCATTTGGTTTCATACTCGAGCACACCACATGGAACTCCTTAAGGTGCTTGTTTGGATCCTCTCCCGCTAAACCTCTGAAAATTGGTAGAAGATGAATCATCCCAGATTTAAGCTCAAAAGCTCCCCATGCCGTATCATTGTATTGAATGCATAAAGGCTGTTGGTCAACGGTTAGTGCAGCCATCTCTTTGACAGTTAGATTAGCCATCTCCTCTTGATTAGAAAAATCAGAAGAATCACTTGTGAGTGGAAGATTGGTACGGATTGCTTGATCGAGAGTTGATCTATGCAAAGGTTGTTTCGAAGGAGTAATAGGTGGAATCAAATCAGAATGCGGATTTGATCTCAAATTGTATCGTGAGCTCATTCACCAAAAACACCTACAACTCAAAAACAAAGAACAAATAAAAATTGAAAAATAAACAAAAAGTAAAAAAATAATTAAGTTAATGAAAATCCCCAGCGACACGGCGCCAAAAATTGATGCATGCAAATGCAACACCTAATTTTACCTCACTAAATTCTAATGCAAAGTCGTGTAGTAGCAAAGAGCAAGTAAGGGTCTTTCCCACAGAGGATTTGTGAACTTAATTAATTATCTACTTCTAACAGGGTTTGTCACGAATTATAAAAACTCAACAAAAACTAAAAAAAAAAAAAAAAAACTCAAAGCAAACAATGTAAATCAATCAACTAATAACAAAAGAGAAATCAATGAGATAAACGAGATTGAAGGTTTATTCGCCACCACTAGACACAGATTGCATATAATAAAAGCACTCTTTAACTTTCTACCCTCTTGATCACATCAGCTCAGAAAATACCAAACGTTGATAA